GTGAGGTACCATATACTCCTATAATGGACCGAAGTATTCCATTTTCACACTTCATAAAAATATAGATAAAAATACATGTATGGTACCCCATAGAGTGGAGTGGAAAGATATTGCCCGTCTCCGAACCCGATCAAAGTATGATAATAATATTATGATGTACCAAATCGGATACATCCTTCGAGAGATATAGTATAGGGCAAAATACTATAGGGCCCCGATCGAATAATACCACCTCCACTTGTAATTTCCCTCCACCTCAGACCATGTTTCAGGTCATTGCGACACAGTGTAATCGGTCTCTGAAAGGTCGCACTTTAAAGCCTTTAAAGCCATACTACAAAAAGGAAGTCTATTAAATACGCCTCCGATAATCATTCATAATATGTATGAAAGTCCTTTCTGGTATAGAAGACCTCTGATAAACGTAGAAGTCCTATGAATGATCTTTCACCAATAGAAGACCCCCAAAAAATCTTCTTTTTATAGTAGGTTAATAAAAGGGCTAGAGTGTTCCGACAATGGGAACCCTTTATAGTGGGTTTTTATACCCTCAGGCATATGGCTAAATACGGCCAAAACGTGTCTCATCGAATAATGGTTCTAGACCCTACGTCTTTCTGGACCAAGTCCGCTTCAGGTCATTTGGAGTCGATCTAGAGTGTCCGTCCGTCAATCCGTCTGGCTGGTACTCACGATAACTCTTGAATGTAATATCCGATTTGGTCCACAATCGGTCAAAAGGTCGAAAATGGCAAAAAATATTTTACTGCACAGAAAGAAAAAGAATAATCCGATCAGTCAGCACCATTCAGTCAGGTGCAAATATATACAATATCGGTCCACTTCATCAAGTACCTCCCCCACAAAGGGTCAAAATTTGGAATAATTATAAATCTCGTTAAATGTGATATAAGAGACCGATTGTCTTCAAATTACACATATCAGAGTATTTTTATTAACCCTAGGCTTGGTCGGGCGGTCCACTCCTTCTGGTACCTCCCCCACAAAGGGTTTACATTTTGAGTATCCATGAAGCTCATAAAACGCGAAATTAACATCCGATTCCATTCAGACTTGGTACATGTAAATATTTCCATCAACACAGGATCTGTTATAAAGATGGTAGAGATCGGACCATTTCTTCTGGTATCTGCCCCACATAGGGTTCAAGATTTTTGAAAAACAAAACGCTCAAAGGAAACGAGATAAGCATCCAACTCTTCAAATTTTACACATCCAAATATTTTTGCTAATGCAAAATCTGTTGTGAAGATGATATATATTTGCCAACACCTTCTTGTACCTCACCCACAAAGGGTAACAATTTTCAATACTTATATCTGTCATAACTTGCGAAACAAGTAGGCGATTTTTTATAACTTGCTATATCTAAACATTTTTCTTAACCTCAAATCTGAGATGAAAATATAATTCATCGGAATTAATGATTTCGCCTAAAAATGGATATAAGTTCGATTCGATTTCCTATAAATTTTGCGCACACCAATATTTTTATCTGTACATAAAGTATGAAAATGGAATACTTGGGTCCGCTATGTCTGTTACCTCACCCATATTTCCACATTTTACAATAATTTCCAAATATCTCATATCAAGTATAGGAAGTAGTCGATATAGTCCAAATCAGACACGTTGTAATATTTGTCAGTCATAGGTCAGATACGAAATGGTCAATATTGGCCAACTGATTCCGAACCTCCCCCACAACAGTTTGAGCAATCATAACTCAAGGCTGAGGCTATAAATCTGTCGGCAAACCGACTGATACTTTTTTACTTGTTTTTTTATTTTTTCAATTTTGGTATTTTAAGTTCTTGACCTCGCCATAACAAATTGGCCTCGCCACTTATAGAAACGGTTTCAAGTGTTACTTTCGAAATGCTTAAAGTTCTAACCAGCCGAATTTAAGTGCTTTTCACTATTTTTTAGCTACAAAATGAGGATTTTAAATCGATGACAGGCATTTGGAATGCCATCCAACTATAGAAGGTCTTTATGTAGAATTGGTTTTCTATCTTCGAGAACTTCTATCTATAGTACGCCACAGAATTGTCTCAATCAAAATCTTCAGAGGGGTATGCTCTTAATAATCGGCCTCTGAAAGACTTTCTGTCTATAAAAGACTTCTAAACGTCGTTATCCAAAGGAAGCTCTATAATAGAGTGTATATGTACACACGGGCACCGATAATACTTCTATCTCCCATCTAAAGGTCCTTCCATCCATAGAAGGAGGAAGATTACCCATGAAAGGTCCTTTAAATATAGAAGATGCCTGAGAAATCTTATATTTATAGAAGGCCAATAAAGGCCACAGAGACATTTCACCTGGGGAAGGTCTCACATCTTCGTTGTCTGTAGTAAGACCTGCAAGGTTTTTATATCTGTTGAAGGTCTCCAAAGGTTCTTTTATACCCTCCACCATTCTATGGATGGTATATTATGTCAATTAACGTTTCCGTCCGTCTGTTGTAATCACGAATCATCTTTCGAACGAATTGATATAGAAGGCTAACATGTGTATTTTGCTAATAGGTAGGTTCAATTGACAGAAAAATGTCTATGCAGGCCGGGTCGAACATAGCTTCTTAGTATATACATACTTGATCAGCATAAAATTCTATGCCGATTTAGCAATGTCCGTCCGTCTGTGGAAATCACACTAGCTTCCGAACGAAATGAAGAAGGTTGATAAAATTATACTCAAATGAATATTATGTCTGCAGGGCTTTTGGTATCAAAATGGGTCATGTAGGTCCACGTTCTCGTATAGTCCCCATATAACGGCACCTCCCGATATTCGGTATTTTGGTGATTTAAGCGACATTATTCATCGAAAATGTTTTAAATTTGGTATTTGAAGTTCGCAATGGGTACTACATTCTAAAACAGAAAATTGTCAGTGTAGGTCCCCGTCTTCGTACAGCCTCCATATAACGGTGCCCCACGATATTCGGTATTTTTATGATTTGTGCGACATTATTCACCGGAATTGTAACACATCTCGTATTTAAAGTTCGTAATGGGTACTACAGCCTATGACAAAAAAAATCGTATTTGGTTCGGTATTTTGATGATTCGGTATTTTGATGATTTTAGCCACATTTTTCAATGGAATTGTCTGAAATTCTACACAAGGAGTTCTTTGTGGTTACGTTATCCCCTGAAAGAGAATTGTCTATATAGGTCCACGATATCGTATGGCCCCCATATAACGGTACCTCCCCGATATTCGGTATTTTGGCAATTTTAGCCATATTTTTCAACGGAATTGTCTGAAATTCTACACAAGGAGTTCTTTGTGAGTACTTTATCCCCTGGAAGGGAATTATCTATATAAATCGACAATATCGTATATCCCCCATATAACGGTACCTCCCCCGATATTCGGTATTTTGATGATTTTAGCCACATTTTTTAACGGAATTGTCTGAAATTCTACACAAGGAGTTCTTTGTAAGTACTTGAGCCTCAGACATAGATTTGTCTATATAGGTACACAATATATTACATCCCCCATATAACGGCACCTTCCAATATTCGGTATTTTTAAGATTTTAACTAAATTTTTAATGGATTTTTTTTTTTTTTTTTTTTTTTTTGAAAATTCCATAATTCGTTCCAAATGGCGGCGGAATTTACTGCTTTTTTTACTTGTTACATTTATAGTTGGTCTCGAAAGGTTCAAAGAGAAAGGGAAAGGGTTTTTCAATAAAAGCTTTGGAAAGGCCCTCTAGGCTTGGTATCTACAGAAACCTACAAAAAGTATTCTATGCCTAGTAATCTCATAGAATTTACCATCAATCAAAAACGCTTTGCGTGATAAAAAAAAATCTATTGTAGGTCATGGTCATTTCCATCTTCTGGGAATTTTAATCAACAATTTCCAAGCAAGTGTTACTGGATATTTGTGTGAGAAGAACCCTGAATTTTTCTCTCTCATTGAATGGAATCTGCTGAGACTCCTTTACAAAATTTCCATTTGATTTTAAAAATTTTAAAGGCTTTTAATGATAATTTTGAATAATAATTTTAAAGGCTTTGCTTGGGCAGAATATGTTTTATTCGAAAATTAGGAAGTAAATTTCAATGGCTTCTGCAGTCATTACACTCAGAGAAAAATTTCCTTTTTTTTCACAAAAAAAGTATGTAATTGAGATTTGTTTTATTGTCAAATTTCTACTATTTTTGGTGTTTTTATTTTTTTCTTCTTATATTTATGTTTATATTTTTGTTATCGTTGTTTGTTTGTAAATCTAGATGATGGTTGTTGTTGATCGAGTTGGTTGATTGGTTGGGTCGGTCAGTCAGTGGTTGTGTGTAGTTTGCTTGACATAGCTGGCTGGCAGACTGGCTACCGCTGTCTGCTAGTGATGTGGATTTGTAGCTTTATCTGTTGGATCGATTATTGCTGTTGCTTGTTGATGTTGTTGTTGGCGTTATTTTATATATATATTTTTTTTTTGCTTTTTATGAAGTGATTTGCCTTCTACCATCAACTTAATTTAAATATTTATTTTCATTTTTTTTTGTTTTTTTTATTTTTTTTTTAATTTTTTTTTATTTTGCTGTTGGGGTTGTTGTGATACTTGTTGTTATTGCTGCTGCTGCTGCGGCAATTTTGCCGTTGCCGTTGTTTGAAAACACAATAGTAGTTATACCACTTTTGGAATCAATTTTTTCTGCTTCTCGTTTTAATTTTTTGTGTTAATACATCTATCGAGCTATGGGAGATATTTCATTTCATTTTTTTTTTTTCAAATCACAAAAATATTTTTTTTTTGTTTTTCATTTTCAAAATGATTTAGGATATTTTGCCAAGGCTTTTCCAAAACATTGCATGATAACAATTTTCCTGGCTGAACACCTGCAAAAACACTTGTGGGGATTTTGAGGTGTTGATAGTATTTTTCCAATGTTGTTTTTTTATTTTCATTAATTTTTTTTGGATAAAATCATGGACATGAACATGACACTCACTTTTTTTTTGCACAACAACTCGCCTCGCTGGCGATAAGAAAAAACCCACACTCTGTGCCTGTAACGAACAACACTTCCTTAAAACTAGCTTTTTTCCGAAGATTTTTTATTTCTTTTTTTTTTTTTTGGATTCACAAAAATTTCTTTAATTTTTTGAGCTTCTTCTTCTTCTTCCTCCGCGGCGGCGGCGACTTTGGCGATTAGAGGGGTTTCATGTTGTTTTGAAATCAAGTAGACATCGACAAAATAAAAACAACATTTAAATTATGTGAAAAGGAACAACAACAACAACAATGACGACGATGACGGCTAATAACAACAATTATAAAATATGTTATTGTTGATGTATTTATGTTTTATATATTTTGTTTTTTTTTTCGATTTGTTGTTATTTTCGAATCGATGTTTTATTTTTTGTTGTTTTTGTTTTTCTTTCCTTCTTTCTTCTTGCTTTGCTGTTGTTTTTTTTTCGAAACGACCTGAAAGTTGTAGTTTTTCAGTTTCTCGAGCGCGTCTCACACGTTGTTGATTACGACTGAGACTTGGAAAAAAAGATAACCGTTTGTATCAGTTGTGGTACTACAGCAGCATTTCGGTTCGGTTCAGCTCAGCCCAGCTCGAAAGAGAGGCGGCGGCGGCAGCAGCAGTTGCTGGCGCAGTCTCATGTCGCCGCCGCTCAGTGTGTGCTGTTTTACTTTTTTTTCCAGCTCCGCCACACAGCCTGGCCCGGTCGATGGATCGGTGGGTCGGCCGGTCGGACAGGCGTTATTGTTGTCGCCAACAACGACGACGATGTTGTTGTTTTTGTTGCTTGTTGATTTTTGCTTGTTTTGCTCCACTAGTTGCTGGTTTCATGGCTGCGTCTCGCTGGCTCTGGTGGTTTTTGTATCATTCAGCTGGGTTGACTAACTAACTAGCTAACCAGCTGGCTCTCTGGCTGGCTGGCTGACTGGGTGGATGGATGGCTGTTGCCTTGGATGCTGCGGCAGCTCTGTATTGGACCTGCTCGTTGTTTACCACACTCTGGGAGCGGAGATGAAGATGGAGATGCCTAACCATGCGAATAAGTGCCTTATTTCTTTGGGAGAGGGTAGAGAGGTATAGTATGCCATGTAGTGTAGAGTAGCGTAGATTCCAACTCATTTGCCTAACATTGCCGCAGGCTTACACGCAGTTTGCCAACGACAACAGAAACCAAAACACTAAGAGTAACATAGCCGAACAAGTGCAAGCAGAGGATGCTAGGAAATATCTTGTGCTGGATAGCTGTCACAGTTTAAGAAAGGAAAGAAATCTCATGTAACTTCCAAAAATTTTGAAAAATTTTCAACATTCCAAATTTGAGAAATATTTGAGGAGAGTCTCAGAAAAAAACGCTTCCTAACCTACCTATATTTTACAGAACTTCTTTGGATGGCATATCGCCCGAGGTCAACAGACAAGTCTCCTCGATTTCTTTAATCGATGCAATGTGGACTTATTTAGAAAAAAATGTCCAGCACCAATACAATGTGCACTTTTAAGGCATATTTTTCCAACGAGGAACAGACCTAATAAATATGACTTTTTTACCCTCCACCCAACATGGTATGGAGGGTATATTAAGTTTGTCATTTCGTTTGTAACACCTCGAAATATACATTTTAGACCACACAAAGTATATATATTCTTGATCAGCTTACAATTCTATGTCGATTTAGGGATGTCCGCCATTCTTTCCTTCTAGCTTCCGAACGAATTGAGATAGATTGATAAAATTTTACTTAAATGTATGTTATGTCTGCTGGACTTTTGGTATTGAAAATGGGCCATGTAGGTCCACGTTTTGGTATAGCCCCCATATAACGGTACCTCCCGATATTCGGTATTTTGATGATTTTAGCGACATTATTCACCCGAATTGTTTCAAATTTGGTATTTGAAGTTCGTAATGGATACTACAGCCTAAGACAGAAAATTGTCTGTGAAGGTCTAAGTCTTCGTATAGCCCTCATAAAACGCTACCTCCCGATATTCGGTATTTTGATGATTTTATCTACATTAGTACCGATTTTTTTAAGTTTTGCATTTGAATATTGTATTGGCTTATGACAAATGTTACCTATGCAGGTCCATGTCATCGTATAGACCCTAAACAGCTACATTCGGTATTTATAAGATTTTAACAGAATTTTTAACGGATTTTATTGTTTTTGAGAATTTGGAAATTCGTTCCAAATGGTGAAGGGTATTCAAAGTTCGGCCCGGCTCAAGGGTATAATACCCTAAAAGGGTATTATGTCCAAGTGTTACAAACAAATGTAACATGGAGAAGAAAGCGAGATAGACCCATAGTTACTTTTGAGGATCTTCATAGAATCGCTTTCAGAGTCGATTTATGCATGTCAGTCCGTCCGACCATCCGTTCATGTATTCTTGTGAACAAAATGCAGGTCGCATTTATTATCCCATTGAGATGAAATTTTGCAAACAATATTTGTATGGCCCAAGGACGAACCCTATTGAAATTGGTAATAAAGAGATCAGATTTAGCTATAGCTCCCATATATCTTCAACCTATTTCGGGATAAATGGGCACCAAATGGCTAATATAAGTCCAAATGACCTGTATTTTGGTACATCCCACCGAATTCCGACTAGAAGCAAGTGGATCAAATTTGGAGAAAATCAGTCCAGATATAGCTATAGCTCCCATGTACAGGATAAGATAGAAAAAAACTGCAGAAAAGTCAAACGCATTAATTTCTATTTTTTTTTTTTAAATTTTATTGAATGAAAACAAAAAATGTCGGAAAAAGCATAAAATTTTAGAATAAGTTTAGATTTGTTCGAATTGGTCACCTTTGTCACGAATTATGGCCTTCAAATGGCCAATAAAACCGACACGCTGCCCGAATATTGCTCTGCGGTATTTTGGGCCATTCCCGGCGAAGCGCTTGCATGAGGTGATCGACACTTTGGTATTTTTTTGTGCCAACCCTGCTTTCCAAAATACTCTAGACACAATAGCCCAACGGAATGGTATCCGGAGATTTTGGTAGCCATTGTGCGCGGGAAATGAAGCGAGGATCCTTATTTTGTAACCATTCTTGGGTGGCGCGTGCTGAGTGCGATGATGGTGAGTCCTGTTGGAATGTCCAAGGTCTGCGCCCAAAATTTCGTGCCCAAGGCTTTAATACACCCTCCAGATTATTTTCGCGATGGTATTCGGCATTTATTCTGATGCCATGGTCCATTAATACAAGCGGAGAGCGACCATCGGCTGTCATGACGGCCCACACCAACACCATGGCCGGCGCTTGAGTTCTGGTGACCAACCGAAGGTGCACATTTTCAGCTGACCTCTTTGGCAAGTAAACACGATCATTTTGGTTGTTTACAAACTACTGGACAACGAATGTTTTCTCATCGGAGACGGAGAAAACCAAATTCGTAAGTTCACCACTTCCGCCAAGCGAAGCAACTCTTTAGCTCTTTTTAGTCCATTTTCTTTCAGTTGCGGTGTAAGTTCTTGCACTTTTTGGAATTTCAATGGCTTTACCCCGAGCTCAAATTTCAATATTTGACGAAGGGAATATTGCGATATGTTCAGCACACGAGGCATTTTTCGGACACTGCGACGTGGGTTTCGATCAAGTCGCTTCTCTACTTTTCGAACCATTTCTGCTGATGTTCTTGTTTTCTTCCGTCCACTTCCTTGACACCGGGCTACGCTACCAGTATCACGGTAACGAGCGATGGTGGGAGACACAAAAAATTTATTCACAATTAAATGCTGGAGTGCTCTAACGATAGCCACTTGTGGTTTTCCAGCCATATATAAAGAAATCACACTATCACGCTGGAATTCAATCACGAATAACTTTTTTTCTGGAAAATTCTCACCAAAATGCTTTTGTACGCTTGTAAACCATATAATGAGCTGTCACTGGAATAATTTTAACAGCTGTCGGACGGGTGGCTTAAAAATGACAGCAGTCTGAAGTTGTTTGCAGTTATTCATCTCACCCTGTATATATAATATGCATCCGCACAGAAAACGGCCATACGTTTTAGGAAGTGTACATAATCTCTACATTATTATGGGAGTTATGAGGTTATTACCAAAAGAATACCAGACCGTGGGGATTTTGTCCAGGCACCCAAAATTCCTGACATTTTTATGATTTTTATGCTGTAGAAAAGTATTCTGAACAATATGTCTTTAGGGTTAATCCTCTGATTTTTAAGGAGTCGTATAACCGAAGAATTTAATGCTACTTTTTGAAAACCTTTGAAGATATAATAGAGGATTATTTCTGAAATCCTAACCCTGATTATACTCTCCGCCATAGGGTTACCGAGGCTAAAAAATAGGCTAAAAAATATTCTTTGAAAAAATCCCAATATTACCTTTTGTAACCACCCTCCTATTTATTCAAAAGTTACTACCACTCTTTTGTTGTGCTTTGAAATAAAAAACACTTGTGCCAACTCTTGGGAGATTTTGAGCAACACTCTTTTCATTCTTTTTTGGTTTTGGTTTTGTTTTTGTCTTTTTTTCTTAATTGCCATGGAAGCCACCTGTTCGAGCCTAAACATAAATTTATTGTTGGTAACACTTGAGGCTCTAGACTTTGGTTGTCTGTCTGTCTGCCTGTGATTATGTATCACAGCCGAATAACTTGCAGAACAATAACAACCACAACAAACAACCACAACAACAGCCGCAGTAAAATGAAAAATCAAACTAGTTTCTTTGTTTTTTTTTTTTGCTTCTAATAGACTTCTAGCGTTTAAAAAAAAGATGGAATCGAAGAATACAACAACGCCAGCATAGCTTAGGCAAAGATCCACAAAAAAACACAAACTTGATTTTACTTGGTATGACAAAAACAGCAACAACAACAACTTCTAATATTAACACGTTTTCTCAGAGAAACAACAAAATATTTTTTTATTAAATATTTTTACACAAAAACAACAAGAACAAGCTAAACAAAAAAGTAGAAGAATTTTGTTAAGTAAATCAGCAACAGGTGGAGAGTTTTACTTGTTAGCTGCCGGTTACTATGAATGTGAAAAAAAGAGACCACAAGGCTGAGATGTAGCACAGTAAATAAGGAGAAGAGCTTTTCTTTTGGGGGATACGAAGATCTTCTCGTAACGAAGACCAGAAGATCATCTTTTATAAAGACTAGAAGGCTTTATTGAAAAGAAGAGGATATGACCTTCTTGCATTGAAGACCACAAGGTCTTCTAGAAGATCTGTTTTCAATAGAAGACCAGAAAACCAGGTCGTCAGCAGAATGTCTTCATGTAAAAGAGCAGAGGGTCTTTAAATAGAAGACTAGAGAGTCTTCCAACAGAAAACCAAATTGTCTTTAAGTAGAAGACAAGAGGGTCTTCATATAGAAGACCAAAGGGCCTCCATACACAAAATACTAGAGGGTTTTCATATAGAGGATCAGAGGATCTTCATATAAAAGACCAGAGTATCTCTATGTAGAAAATCAGTATATAAGGCCAGAGGGTCTTCATATAGAAGAGCAGAGGGTCTTTAAATAGAAGATCAGAAGGTCTTCAAATAGAAGACCAAAGGGTCGCCAAATAAAAGACTAAACGGTCTTAAAATAGATGACCACAAGATCCTCAAATAGAAGACTAGAGGGTCTTCATATAGAGGACCAGAAGGTCCTCATATGGAAGATCAGATGGTCTTCATATAGAGGACCAGAAGGTCCTCATATGGAAGATCAGATGGTCTTCGTGTAGGAGGCCAGAGGGTATTCAAATAGAAGACCTACGGGTCTTCAAATAGAATATCAGAAGGTCTTCAAATAGAAGACCAAAGGGTGTCCAAATAAAAGACCTCATATAGACGACTGGAGAGTCTTCGAATAAAAGACC